ACACATTTTATCGCTTTTGCGCGCTCCCGATTCGCTCGCACTTTCTCTGTTTGCTGCGAGTGGTAAGCTGGGCTTGTGGAGTTTATATGCATTTATTCCTCTAGAGAATTCTATTGCGAACACATTGATACCAAATTGAATATCTTAGGACGAGAATTGAGCTGACAAAGTTGAAAAGGGTATACATTTTTAAGAATTACCGCGCGCTCCCATGGAATGCCGAAACCAACCCGGGGTAGTGGGGAGCTCGTGCGCCCAGAGCACGAAAGTGTTAGTCTCCTTAGTCTAAAATCAATTAATCAATCATCTCTCAATATATACCATCTACCACCTGCTTGTTCTGCTGCCTGCACATCCACTCTGCCAACCATCTCGCTCCTTCCCACCTGCACACACTGACACCTACCCGACCATTGCTCCCTGCCTATCCACCCACTTTGCCACCTGCCCTGCTATTCATTCATCAACTCACTCTACCACCTGCCCACCCAGTCATCCTCCACGTGTGATTATGATTTCCCCTTCTTTCCCCTTACATGATTCTAGTGTGGTGTTTCTGAAAGATTTTCTTTCCCTTCCCCCACTAGCCTCACCTCCCACTTCCCTGCCATCCATCCAGTCCCACCCACCATTCATCCAGTTCCCCCCCACCATCCATCCAATTCCCTCCCTCCCCCCCCTCACCATCCATCCAGTTCCCTCCCCCACCATCCATCCAGTTCCCTCCCCCACCATCCATCCAGTTCCCTCCCCCACCATCCATCCAGTTCCCTCCCCCACCATCCATCCAGTTCCCTCCCCCACCATCCATCCCGTTCCCTCCCCCACCATCCATCCAGTTCCCTCCCCCACCATCCATCCAGTTCCCTCCCCCACCATCCATCCAGTTCCCTCCCCCACCATCCATCCAGTTCCCTCCCCACCATCCATCCAGTTCCCTCCCCCACCATCCATCCACTTTTCCCCTACCATACATCCAATTCCCCCCCCCCCTCCCCCCACCATCCATCCAATTTTCCTCACCATACATCCAATTCCCCTCCCCCCCCCATCCATTCAGTCCCCTCACCATCCATCTTGGGACTTTCTTGTGCCCATGGCATGATATATAATAAGAACTTTTATGTTCAGAAACCAAAAAAAAAGGCAGAAAACAATTTAATTCTTCGCAAAGAATTCAAGCGCAATTGTCACTTGGCGGGATACACTGGTTATCTGAGGGTGTCTTGCCCCACACTCGACCCATACAGTTATCTACAGACGAATCGTATTCCAAGGCAAATGTCATACCCCAATTCAAATTTTACGAGAAATTTAATGTCGTATACCAAAAAATTGTAATCTAGGGCAGTGGTAAACCAAGGTACCACTATAGTAACTTCAGGGAGCTACCGGGGCTCTCCCAGAAATTGGCATTTCATTACGTTCAGCACTGATTTTTTGGTACTTCTGTGGAATTCGAGCCTTGCTTCCATAATGGGCCCCACTTCCTTGAGTCAGGTCGGCATCGCCATTTTGGTTGCACTATGAGGTTCCAAGTTTATCTTGGCTAGCTGATGACTTTTTTATCTTTGGGCTCTGTTATTCCTTTATGCCCGAGTAGTGTGAAATATTTTTTAGGTGTTCTTGGTCAGCCCTCATTATTCTCCCCTTAACACTTTCGCGCTCTCGGCGCTCAAAAAAAAACAATACCCCAGATGCTTTCGGCACTTCGCGCGCCTACGTGGTAAGACCGAAAAGTGTACACTCTTTTGACTGTCCTGACAATAATTGAAGGCGCACGTATTTAAATTTGGTATCACTGTGTTCGCAATGAAATTGTCTATAAGAGCATACCTATAAAATGCCGCCCAAGCATAAGGAGTATCAACACCAAATAAAAAACTATGCAGATCACTCGCCGAGAGCGCCAAACAGCAACAAAATGTTTCTACTCTCTTAATGGTTGCGAAGCCTACAGTTGTCCTACATCGCTAATCTTGGTATCATTGGAATCGCAATAAAATTCTCTACACGGACATATGCATATGAATGTTTAATATAGGTAATTGCCCACCCGCAAGAGTGTGTGAAGTGGAGAGTAGTTAGCCACGAGCGCACTGGCGAAAACACAAGGGGGAAATCATGCTTGGAAAGTTTATACGTTTCCTGACCCTACTTTTCTATGTACGTATTTCTTTTTTATACCAATGTGTTCGCAATAAACTTTTCTATAAGATGAACTGTATAACATTTGTACAAAGCATGTGTAAGAGAAGCGCCAAATATAGAACCACGTCGCTCAGTATGCGTTCGCGGCAGAAACGAACGCATTGTTTTCGTTCGTTTGATGTTTGTCATGTTTATACTTGTTGAAACATTTTATAATTTGTATGACAGTGATCGCAGTAAAATTCCCTACACAGACATATACATAACACATACAAATATTTCCCACGTGTTGGATATATCAACGGCTAAAGGGAACCCACTGCCACACGCTCGCCACACCCCCAAACATACTTTGTGTATTTTTTTTTTACTCATAGAAGTTTGTGATATAATATTCATTTTGGTACCAAAACATTCGCAAATAAATTCCCTACAAAACAAAAGTATCCCCATCCATTTCGGTTAAAAAATGGAATTTATAGAAATATTTTTTCGATGGACGAGAAAACTCGGCTGTTATGCGGAATCGTAAGAGAAAACGGCGACGAGTTATCTCTAATCTAAAGCGCGAAAGTGTTAATGACTGCTTGCTCAATATGTTCCGAGTATTCCCAAAGGCATTAAACTGTTTTACTAAAGTGCTCGTACTTAACCAATCCATGGACCCACACACAGAAAATGGGACATTTTGCCTGATATGAAAATGGGACATCTTCCATTTTTTGGTCCTAGGTAAAGTATACGTCAGTGTGATGTGCTATTAGGAGAATGGATTGACTTAGTTGCTCCTGCTCTTGCCAATGATGCAGATAAGTGACAGCTTCATATTCAGCTGTCTGTGTTTTGTGCGGCTCTTATCACAGAGGATCATAAGGTGTGCACAAACCTTTCAACAGTCATGCATTTTTGGGCATTCTTGGAGCTTTTTGCTGGTAGGCTTCCTAAGGATGTGGACTTGCTTGGTTAAGTTTTGGATGCGGAGTCATTGAGACCTGCAGTGGCCTTGGCCAAGATGCTTGCACCCATCCTTCAGGTGGTGGTGCAATGTTTTACGCAGCTCGTCTTGTGTCTGCAGGCCATCGTAGCCCAGTATTTAGATTCGGCTGGTGTGTTAGGTTATTACAACATGGTTGAACTTTGGGATGGTTGGGCCAACTTTGTCCTTACGTTGGGTCTCCAGACTGTTCCTGGTCCATAAGAGGGACTCGTCAGACTTTCATTTCATCCTCAATCTTTCGTGTTTGAACAGCTTCATTCCCCGTCTGACCTTCCACGTGGCCATTGTAGCCCAAGTTTGTCTGATTTTCCACTCGGGCTTGGTTGGTGTCCCTGGACTCCAGGGATGCATACTGGCACATCCCTATACATCTGGGGTTCAGAGACTGGTTAGGTTTTGTGGTGGTGTGTCATGCTTACCACTTCCAGGCTCGGCCCTTTGGTTTGAATCTGGCTTCCTGTATTTTTGCCAGGTTGGTGTGAGTTGTGGCCCAGCTGTCATGTAGGGGGTTCATGTCTTATCATGCCTCTGTGAGGCTGGGTTGTGGCATGGCCAGGGTCTGGCTCTGGTCTCCAGTAGGTCAAACAGACCTCCTGCGATTGATGTGACTTTGTAGTATGGAGCAATCTCAGCAAGATAGCTATAGGGAGCTACTGGGGCTCTTCTAGAAAGAGGCATTTCATTATTTTCAATGCTGGGTTTCTTACCCAGTGTGTAGCTCTTTATCTCATTAAAAGAGGGTGGTTGTTTGGCATCATGTGATGCTGGAATGCAGAGACTAAGTCACAGTACAGTAATATAGCTGAAAGTTAGACACCTAACCCACAAATATGAAAAGAAATGTGCCATGGTCCTGGATGGACTGAAATGTCATCATTTCTTTTTCATATTTGAGAGTTTGATGTCTTATTGCTAGTGTAACATAAGTTTATGTGTACGTGTTTGGGTGACAAGACTCAGAGGTTAGTGATTTTTTATGTTTATATAATATGGTCTTGGTTACAGTAGATGGTTGTTGGAAATGTAGTGACGTGTGGTGATAGCTGAGACAAGGCCCGGAGCAGAGAGCAGAGACCTTGAGGGAGGCTGGAGGGTAGAAAGCTCGAATACGGGACGAAAGCGGTAGTTGGAGTGTGTGGCCGGAATCTGTCTGTCTGCTCTCTAGTGAGGCTTGTAGGGTCTTGCGAGAGTAGGAACTAAACTTGACAGGTTACTGACATTCTTACTGGTGAATGTCAATTGGTGTTGAAGATCCATGGTATCTCTCGAGCATCTTTAATGAACCACTATTCAAGTTAGACTATGGTCTGCTCTTGATGGCTCATATTACACGAGTTTACTGACTTGCTAAGATAACAAACATCTATAACAGGTTATCTTTCTGCATCCTCGGTGATGTCTGTACATTTGGGAAGAGATATTAATTGTAATAAGTGGACCTAGGAATAATATACACATCCACAGATCTCCAGTATCGGCTGTTGGTATTGGTAATAGCTCCAGAGAGCCTCCACTTACGGGCTGTTCATGCCCGTGCCACCTCTTGGGTGGCTTAATGTTTATCAATCGATCATTATTGTAGAACTTCCTGGAATGCAGAATTCCCTAGGTATAAGCTGTGGGGAATTAACTGGCACATATAATTATATGCATTGAAACTTTTACAATTTGAAGCAATTACATTACTCATAATTGCTACATTAGAATATATTACTAGTCTTCATGCTTGAATGTATGACTGTGCCTGCTTGATGGGGTCCTGGGAGTTCTTCTACTCCCCAAAGAAGTAGACACGAATTTTGAACTATAGATAGAACTATAGACATGAATTTTGTATTTTTCTGTGTTTCAGAGATGAACTGGAGAGTTTACAGGAAGTTAATGCAACGCTGAATAGCAGGGTCGAGGAAATGGTTGTAACAAATGAGCAGCTACGGTCATCTCTGACGGAGACGAGCGAGGAACTGAAACAACAGAGAACATCACATAAAATGGTGCAGGATCAGCTGGAGCAACACACCATGCACACTAATGAAGTTATTGGTAGTCTCACTGAGAAGTTGGCCACTAGCCAGAAGGATATTCAGTTGAAAGAAAGTGAATGGCAAGATCTTACTAAGCAGCAAGCAGTATTGTAAGTACCGTAGCTTCAGGGAGTCACCAAGCCAAAAAGAGGCATTTCCTTATATTTAATGCAGGATTTATATATTGAATAATTATTTTATATAATTTATATTAGTATTTTTTACAATTAACCAAGAAATATTTTGTGACCCTCTTAATATATTGTTGAAGGCTGGATTTAAATACAGTATAACATTTTATAATTGATTCAAGTTTAATATCTTGTTTATTCAATAAAAGGAGTCAAGAATGCGAAGAAGCTAAGTGTGAGGTAGTGAAGATGAAGGAACAGCTGGACACAGCCATGAGAACATTACAGACGGCCAAGAGTAGAATGATTGACAGCGACGTGTACGACGAGGTCTGTAAGGAGAAGGAGGACTTGAGGGAACGCATTAATGGCCTCCATGAAGAATACATTATGGTTGGTTTATTTCTTTGGTCTTTTTCCATCAAGAATAAACATATAGTGCAGGCGATGAGTCACAATAACGTGGCTAAAGTATGTTGACCAGACCACACACTTAGAAGGTGAAGGGACGACGACGTTTCGGTCCGTCCTGGACCATTCTCAAGTCGATTGACTTGAGAATGGTCCAGGACGGACCAAAACGTCGTCGTCCCTTCACCTTCTAAGTGTGAGGACTGGTCAATAAACATATAGTGTTTATTGACCATTGTGGTCAATACAATTACAAACTGGAAGGTTTGTAAGGGTTTTAGAATCTGTCGTAAGCAAGTCCATTTTTTGTAGTGGACGGTATTTTGTGCTCCTACTGGTATCTCTTTTCTTTATTTAGCTCTGTAACTACGTACTCGGTGTTCAAGTTCATCTAGCCCAGCGTATTTACTCAAGGTTAACTTTACTCTTTGAGGCAACCTTTAACAAGCTACTTGTGTTGGTTAACTGTTGATTACTAAATACTTCCCTTTTAATAATTCAAATGGCAGCTATTGTATTTATTCAATCAGTGTTTGCACCAAGCAAACTAATCCAGGCATAGATGAAGAAGATATAAATTATGATAAATACAAGAATCCTTAATAAACAGTTGGATAACAAAATATTGTTTTGTGTTGAAGGGGAAGGTGGGAGTGTTGAGGTGGTTGGTGGGTGTAGATGTGTTCACCTAGTTGTGTTGATGGTCAAGGTGGGTGTAGATGTGTTCACCTAGTTGTGTTGATGGGCAAGGTGGGTGTAGATGTGTTCACCTAGTTGTGTTGATGGGCAAGGTGGGTGTAGATGTGTTCACCTAGTTGTGTTGATGGTCAAGGTGGGAGTGTTGAGGTGGTTGGTGGGTGTAGATGTGTTCACCTAGTTGTGTTGATGGTCAAGGTGGGAGTGTTGAGGTGGTTGGTGGGTGTAGATGTGTTCACCTAGTTGTGTTGATGGGCAAGGTGGGTGTAGATGTGTTCACCTAGTTGTGTTGATGGGCAAGGTGGGGGTGTTGAGGTGGTTGGAACGGGCAGGAAGACAGACCCAGCAAAGCATTGTGTACACAACTAGGGTGCAGTGAGACACGTAGGACACTGCTGGCCACCCACTGCATCCTAACCCATCTCCTGCTGTCTCCACTTGTCTTGCTGCTGGACCCAAATAAGGCGGGACGAGAGAGAGAGGCTGACGACTTGCTCAACTCTCACTCACTTGATCAAAGTCAAGTGCAAGTCATGACTTCATCCCATGTAATGAAGTCATGGTCATCTTCGACAACGAAGGACGAACATCATCATCAATGTTGACCAAACCACACACTAGAAGGTGAAGGGACGACGACGTTTCGGTCCGTCCTAGACCGAATTGTGACCCATCATCGTCAATGGATAACAATAATAATTGTTATATAGTTTTTATAATTTGGGCATCAAAATGTTTTGCAGGAGTTTGCTCTTTTGTTGCACTCTACACTAGAAGGAAAATGAGGATTGAGGCAGCTTGTCCAGTGTGGTTTATTATCTTGCATAAAATAAGGATGACAATTCCCCAAAGATGTGGCAATTTCCGGATCTCCACAATGGTCTAATAACTGAAAGAATGGTAACACAGAGCACTTGAGATAAAGGGTGGTTACTCTGCGCAGTTTAGTCCCTGCGACCACCTCTTCCCAGGTGTTATCTTGCACTTGTTTGGAGTAAAGCTGTGCTGCCATTTCTCACATCTCTAGTTTGTCTAGGCCCTCTTGGAGCAACAATCTTTGTTCTTACTTTCATCATTAGTTTGGTACTGTCTGCATACATTGACGTATAGGAACCTTCCTCACTTGTTATTGACATGTCAGTGGTGCTAGCTGTGGTACTCACCAGTACTCACCTAGTTGTGCTTGTGGAGGTTGAGCTCTGGCTCTGTGGTCCCACCACTCAACTGTCAATCAATTGGTATTCAGATTCCTGAGCCTATTGGGCTCTATCATACCTACATTTGAAACTAGTTTCAAATAATATTTGAAGCTGTAGTATGGAGTCTTGCCTCCACCACATCACTGCCTAGTGCATTCCTTTTGTTAACTACTCTGACAATGAAGTTTTTTCTAATGTCTCTGTGACTCCTTTGAGTACTAGGTTTCCACCTGTGTCCCCTTGTTTATATTCCACCCATGCTAAATAGTTTGTCTTTGTCCATCCTGTCAGTTCCTCTGAGAATTTTGTAGGTGGTGATCATGTCTCCCCTATCTCTTGTGTCTTCCAGTGACATAAGGTTTATTTCCCATAGCCTTATCTCATAACTCATATCTCTCAGTTCTGGGACTAGTATGGTGGCATACCTCTGAATCTTCTTGAATTTTGTTTTGTGTTTAACTAGGGATGGACTCCAAGCTGGAGCTGCATTCTCTAGAACTGGTCCGGCATATGTGATATTCAAGGTTCTGAATGATTCCTTACACAAGTTTCTAAAGATAGTTCTTGGCCAATCTAGCATATGCTGCTGATATCCTTTCGGTGTGGGCTTCGTGGGGCAGGTTCAGTGTTATATCCCCTAGATCTTTCTCTTTACTTGACTCTTGAATGATTTGACCTCCCAGATTATACCTTGTGTTTGGCTTCCTGCTACATTTACTTAATTTCATTACTTTACAATTACTTGAGTTAAAGTTTAGTAGCCATTTTCTAGACCATTCCTCCAGTTTGTCCAAGTCATCTTGTAGTCTCTGTCTATCTTCCTCTGTCTTGATTCTTCTCATAATTTTTGCATCAGCAGCAAACATTGAAAAGAATGAGCCTATACCCTCTGGAAGATCATCTACATATATCAGAAACAGGGTGGGTCCAAGTACAGAGCCAGCCCTCTGGAACTCTGCTGGTGATAGAGCATAAATGAGAGGGATAACTAATAATTTAAACTTGGAAAATGTTGAGAGAGACTAGTTCCAAATTTGCATTTGGAAATAATTCCACACGAGGCCAGAAAGCATGACAAAGTGCAAAATTGCTCTGTTGAAGAGCAGAGGTGCAGTAGCTGTGCTAAGAGGCAATTTTTCAACATGAAGGTCCCATGATTGTTCAATATTCTCTAAACAAGGGGTATAACTGACCGACCTCTTACAGTGTTCAAGAAAGATAACTTGATAAACACCTCCAGAGGATACCTGATCAACCAGACTATGAGCAGCAACACTGAACGGCCTGGTTGTCCAGACCACCAACCAGGAGGTCTGGTCAGAGACGGGGCCGTGGGGATGTTGATCCTCGGAATCATGACAAGGTAACCATGGGGTATGAGGCTCGTCATTCACAGATAAGAGCTCTCATTGCTGCAGAACTGGACACTTTTTGTTGAGTACCTATAAGCCAGCATGTCCAAACTAATATTACTACAAAATAATGCTCTCTTGGCTACTTGATAAGTAGCTTTCAGTGGCTGAATTGTAAAGCATTGAGGTGGAGGTGGTACGTATGGAGGCAGCCAAAATGGCACCCAAATTTCAGCATAGAGAGCATTGTGTGTGTGTATAAGTCATCATTCATTCTAATTTTTTCCACTATGCATGCTATATTTCTGTTCTGTTTTATCTTTAATATATATTTCAGGTTTATAATGATAATACTAATCTACACGAACGTTTGAAATTAGCCGAAGAAGAAGCCAAAAAGTATGAAATGAATTATATAAATTCCGAAAACAATTCTCAGGTACTTAATGTTAGAGTGAATGCCTTATCAAATGTCATTAGCTCTCAGCACATGGTGTTAAAAGCTCGGGATGACACGATAAGCGAGGTGAGTAGTCGCAGTGTTTAGTCAGTGGCACTTGACCTCCTGTAGCTGTTGCAGAGTTTAATCTCTCACACCACATCTACTACATGTTAGGTACTATACCTTCCTCCCAGTACGGATACTTTATGACTCTTCAAATGAATTAGTTTTCTCTGTTAGAAGTGGGTATGTGTGGTAAGCATATTGTACCGATGTTTACTGTTGAATATACCTGTTATTGCATCATGTTGCCCCCTGGTAGGCAAGTTGAGGACAGTTTTAACGTGGGTAGGACGGGGGTCACTATTACTGATAAGTTTCTCTGCACCAAAATTGTTACACCTACACTTGACCTAATACTAGGGAATGTACTCGGTAATCTGTGTCATTTATAATTCCCCACAAACTTGAGCCATAGAGCCGGTCGTGTTCTTTGTATGTTGCACAGCTGGTATAGATTTGAATTTATATTTCTAAAGTGTAAGCCTTAGAAATACAGTATACCATCTAGTGTGTTAAATTTTATCATCAACCTAATATTTTAAAACCCTAATTTCTTCATAACTGCAATGAGAGAAATTGATGTCGGTCAGTGATACCTGTCTCAGTATCCAACATGGTGAATGGCTTTTGTGTGTGTGTGTGTGTGGCTTTTGTGTAACCTAAGTGTAGTTACAGGATGAGAGCTATGGTCGTGGTGTCCCGTCTTCCCAGCACTCTGTCATATAATGCTTTGAAACTACTGACGGTCTTGGCCTCCACTACCTTCTCACTCAACTTGTTCCAACCGTCTACCACTCTGTTTGCGAAAGTGAATTTTCTTATATTTCTTCGGCATCTTTGTTTAGTTAGTTTAAATCTGTGACTTCTGGTTCTTGATGTTCCAGGTCTCGGGAAATCTTCCCTATCAATTTTATCGATTCCTGTTACTATTTTGCACGTAGTAATCATATCACCTCTTTTTCTTCTGCCTTCTAGTTTTGGCATATTTAATGCCTCTAACCTCTCCTCGTAGCTCTTGCCCTTCAGTTCTGGGAGCCACTTAGTAGCATGTCTTTGCACCTTTTCCAGTTTGTTGATGTGCTTCTTAAGATATAGGCACCACACAGCCGCTGCATATTCTAACTTTGGCCTAACAAAAGTCGTGAACAATTTCTTCAGTATTTCTCCATCCATGTATTTACAAGCAATTCTAAAGTTAGAAAGTGTAGCATAGGCTCCTCGCACAATGTT